ACAGACAGACAGACAGACAGACAGACAGACAGACAGACAGACAGACAGACAGACAGACAGATGTTTTAAACATACCCACATGCCTTGTTCTTTCTCAGGTAATACTTGACCAAAACATTGGCCAGCTGATTTATTGGTATATCTGTTGTGAAAATCTTAATTTTGTTTTGTAACAAGGTTTGAAACTTGAAAGGTTCCATGGAAAAAAATATAACTCCTATGTGTTCCTGTATTTAATATAGATGTATTTTGTCATAGATGAAACTGATAAAATATTTGTATTTATTCATGAATTATTCTTACATTAAGGTTTGTCTTGCAATCTCTGGGAATTATCACAGAGATTTGTTAGTTTTAGTGAAACAATAAACAAAAAAACAATGTGAAGATGCAAATTATTTCAATTTTTTTTTATTCTAGCTATTATCTCAGATATGGTTTTCTTACAGATATGGTTTTCTTTGATTTAAATACCCAATTGAACAAATACATACAATAAATTGAAGTTTGAGTTTATCAACCTTCTGTATTGGAATATTTGTCATTCAACAAAAATGTATAAATCAAGGGAGTCATTGCATTATTATTTTTATGGAGGGAAAAACATTGGCGAACCAACCTTTTAAACCTTATTGATAATTTACCAAATGGCTTCTGTTGTTACTGTCTCATTTACAATCTTGACTTTGTTGTCAACACCACAGGATTCCACTCTAGTCTTGTTACACTAGACTCAATTGTTTGACTGGAACAGCGGCTGGTTGGAGGAAAAGAAGAAAGCTAATGGTTCCCATACCTGGTTTATTGCAAACCCAAAACACACACACTCCCCACCCTAATGTTATTTGAAGCTGTACAGTAATGGGAGAAAGCATGCCTCTAATTTCATAAATGGAGCCCTCATTGACATCATTGTCTTTGATTAATTATACAGACTTGGAACACTGGCTTTCAGAGGGAGATTACTCCTGCAAGGTTATCTTGTGCAACCAGATCCATTTATTGGCTGTCACCACAGTCCCTTTTTAAAGTCAAAGCTGATCTGCAAAGTTCCCCCATATGAAATTGGCAGGAACTGCTTTGACACGGGTCAGACATGCCTCTCGCACAGGTCAGTCCTCATTTAGCTTCAACATAATGGAAAATGACTGTTCCCATAATTCCTGCTAAATCACGCCTCTGCCTCTGTTCAGTCCTGAGAGAGGGACCCATGCATGTTTTATGAGATGAGTTCATTAGCATATGTCGGGCTTTTGGGTGTGAGCCTTGACCTGTGTGTCTGCTTCACGTAGCACAACGAACACAGGGGCTGACGGGGCTCGCGCACATCACCTTCAATAATCAAAGAACATATGGCTGGCCGATCTGCCAGTGCAGATTACCACCTACGAGAAACTCCCACAGAAAGTTATTAGTTGTCAAGGCAGCCATAAACATGACAAACAAATCAGCAGGCATTGACTTTAGCAACAAAGGGGTAGAAATGAGTCATGAGGATCAAGTTTTTGTTTTGCATAGACTTTTATATCCTAACCTTTTCTTTTTCCTGCTAGCTTTAATAGCTTCTTTTTTTTGCACCAGCATTATTAATATTCAGGGACATAGACAAAGGTTTAGACGTTTTAACTGGGTTATGAACTGACCTAATCGTGATTCACAGAGGAATTGTAAATAGTGTCTGATAATATGCATTAGAATGGTATGGATTTTGTCTATAAGAAATTATATTAAAATATGGAAATCATTTATTAAAATGTATTAACATATCAAAAAAGTCAATACAGTTCAAGCCTGCTGGGTTTTTTTTTTACATTCTTTACATTTTTTGGTCTATCAGTGTATGTTTTTGTGATTTGTAATTTAAATTGAGCGCCTAAGAATTGCACAAAAATACAATACAGAAAAGGTCACTTTGCAGGGAGGGAAGCAAAAAGCTCAGGAAATATACAGCCTCCATCTGTATTATTTCCATTATATAAACAGTGAAAATTCTTAAGCAATAAAATATACATTACAGCACAGTATAACAACATAAATATCTATTAAAAAGAAGAAAAAACTGCCGGTAAGCAAAAAAAAAAAAAGTTATCTTAAAAGTATATTTACCTATGACCAATAAAACAGGAATGCATTTGAAAACCAATAGAGCTGTTAAGAAAACCTGTTAGACACATCAGCATTTTGGTTTGAGGAAACTGATAATTTATAGTGAGAATTTCAGAAGAAATAAAGATCTGTAGATTTATGATGGGGGAAAAATGTGATTGAAGACTTAGTTATGTGTCTTATTTTTTAATCCATTTCTTCTTTTAAATAAATGTTTGTGTTGATATTATAAATGTGATTGATCAAAATATTTATTGCAAATTATTAGTGAACTTTATTTTTCCAAATTAGAATCTCAGAAATAATCCTAGAGAATATTCTAGATAACACATTTTAATGTAGAAGGAATCACCTGAAAGATGAAGTTAGTTTTAATTTGCAGTTTAATATATTTCTCCTAAATATCCTTTGATTTACTGACTTTAGGCCCAAAAGCATAAGGTGTTTAAATTGATTTCATTAACCAGTGAATTTTACTGAATAAACATAAACAGGAGTTGATCTGTGTAAGTGTAATGATATCAGTCTCCATGGGATGTTTCTTTTTTTTTCTATATATCATTGCACTAAATTAGTTTTTAATGCTTCCCCTCAAGTTATGTGTCAGTGGTTATTTATTTTTATGTCTGGTTCATAATAATCAGCAATCTTCAGTTTGAGTTTCTCTAGCTTCCCTGTTCCACCACCTGCTGAACCTTCTCATTCAGTATCTCTGCTTCCACTCACCTGGGTTTCCCACCCCTTTCTGTTGTTCAAAAGTATTGTTATTGTGTACTTTAGATCTCTTTTTTATTTTTTAAGTTAAATTTAGAAAACAAATATGAAAGCTGCAATTTCAAATCAACTCAGGAATGGGATTTTCTCAAGTAAGACATTTTAGCTCAAGGATGTATTGTGTTAAGAATAGGCACTGGATTGTGGACATTGTGGAAAATGGAGAAGCCATTTCTCTTGTTGCTATGTTGATCAGTGTTTTTACAGATGTTCAGATCTATTAAACAATTTATTATCCTATAACTGGTATGTTGTGTAGCCTAATTTAAGTTAGGACTCTTTTCATCTCCAAAAGCCTAAACAGCACTGAGGAAAATATAATAACCCGCCTTGAAATATGGATTCATTTTTCGTTTGAACTCATCAAACACATTTCGATATAAAAGATAACTTTCGAAATTCAAAAGGTTTTTTTTTCTTTTTCAAAATGCTTTCATTTATTAGCAATTATAGCTAAATAAAACAATCTAAACCAACCATGCCCGAGGCAAAAAATTAATCACCCCCTTGTTGAGTCATGAACTAACCGTGATTAATCACATTTTTCTAGCTAAATTTTACTAATTACAGACGAGCCCGATTAGCGCCTGTATGATAGAGAAAAGAAATCACTTAAGTGGAACCTTTTTGACACCGTGAAGTAGGCTTAAAGATCTATAAAAGCAAAGCATTACATCACGAGCTATAGAATTTCTAAAATGGGAGAGAGCATTGACATTATTGATCTAGGAGGGGCTGCAAAGCCATTTCTGAGGCTGGGGAACCTTCTGAGAAGCGTATTAAGAACTAATCAGGGAGATCAAAAAAGAACCCATAACACCATCTGAAGTATTGCAGAACTAAGTTGTTTAAGTTAAGGTATGAATTCATGATTTAACAAAAAGTAATAGATACTGGGCAAAAATGTTATCTGATGTCAAATATTATATCAATTTCTACCCTTTGGACCCCATGAAAGACCGACTACAAAGTGA